AGACAGAGCGGAGGGTGCAACACGCGTGGGGGTGACCCTCCAGGGACGTCCTGAAAAGATCAGCCAGGAATCGGAGGTTGGTGTTCTAAGAAACCAAAAGTAGCAGTTAGGGGTGGAGAGGGGTCCCAGGATTAACTTCTCAACCTCTTTACAGAAATGCAGAGAAGAGCCAGCTTTGGACCAAGTAAATCCAAGCAGTTTAAGAGATGCCAGTCTCATTAAAGTGGGCCCAGGAGGCTACCTTGACCCCACGTTCGCTTAAAATGCAAGTTGACAACATGTGAGAATGGGGCCCGGTGTCCACGCCTGCTGCCTACCACTGACGCAGGAGCGGGAAGAGTGAGGGAGGGGCTCACGTCAGCCTGTGACAGAGCTTCGGGATCCCTGTTCCAACGATTAACAATCTGGATGATTGCAACCTTTTCTCTTCCTTGTGTCTAGCAACCAAGCAATGAGCACTGCTGAGGAAATCACAGCCCTGAGTCACGTTTCTCTACCTTCTCCATTACCTCCCCCTGACAAAACCCAGAAGACATTGGTTTCTTCATTGCTCTCTGTCCCTACGGCTTGAAATGTTCATACCTTCACGTATCTGTTCACCCATGTGGTCCCTTGGAGGGCCACAAACCACCGTTAACATCTGAGACGTCACATGGGCCCGCATGAGCACACAGCGTCCACACCCATGTCCTCCACGCCTTGCCCGGATTTTATCTGCCCTCTCTGGGTCTTCCAGAGCAAACGTCAGATGAGCCACCACTGAACTCCAGAGGCTTCCACGAGCAACATGTCTTAAGTGAGAACCGCAAGTTGCAGAAGTGTGGACAGTAGGGCAGAGATCTTTCTAAACAACCCAAACCAAGCACCCCTCGAAGCATATTCATGATTGCAGATGATTCTCGAATGCACAGAAACCTGAGCAGACCCTTGGGGCTCACCGCGGGCGTCCCTGCTGGGATTGGGGTAGTGAAATCAGTGGGAAAGGAGGCAGCTAAAGGGTAAAAATATGCCAGCTTTTTTCCTCTCTGAATGGACACGGCTCCCTGAGAGCAAACCATCTTTGACTCTTCTCTGAGCCTAGAGCGTCTCCCTCTCTGGCCCCCTCTGAGGTCCCCCAAAGGCTTGTCCTTCCTGGCCACACCCTCCCCATCTCCCACGCCACCCCAATCTCCCTTGGTCTGCAGAATGGGTAGGTGGGGAGGAGGGGGTAAATTTGCCTAAAGGGCCCAAGACACTACCTGAAAGAAAAGAGACTGATTCAGAATTTGTTTTACACGATTCAATAGTACTCAAGTCCTCTGTGGAAGCCTGAGAAGGTTCTACCACAGATCTACCAGCAGGAAGGAACACGAGGGGTCCCAAAAGGGGCCCTCTGTGAGGAAAGTGGCCGCTCAAATGACCAGGCTCAATGCCAAGGCCTGACAGTTTCAGAGGCTAAAGCTGGACACAGCCTTGGCTCAGTCCCCTTGCACCAGAGTCACTCTTGGGGACAGTGCCCGAGCCCGTGTGAACTAAGAGCTTGGAAAGCCCAAGCATCTATCACTATCGGTGGCCTATGCGGGGATCCCCGCACCCTTTAGACGGTGCAGGACAGAGTTTCTGCAGCTACAACCCCGAACAAGGACAGAAATGAGCGATGACACCCAGAGAGAAGTGCCGGGCGTGAGCCAGTCCTCAAGGGACTGAATGGAAAACCGGGTATCGTTTCTCCCCTGCAGTCAGGTCCTATATCTGCACCGCCTAACGTGACATGGTTTATAACGTGACATGTCCGCATGTCCCAGTCACCCTCGAGGAACAAAGAGACATGTCTAGAGCCCTGTGCCGAGTACGGGCTCAGACACTGCTGTGCCAGGCGCAGTGGGGTTACCCTCTCGGGGGGCTGCAGCTAGGACCATGCCGGCACACAAGAAAGGAAGGGGATGAAATCATTCCTCGGTTTAGAAAAACACTTGCACAAGCCTTTCTGGCCATAAAACCTCAGGGCCACCCCCCACCCCCAGGCCCTGGCGGTGACCTAGTGAGGGAAGCTTTGATCAGGAAGTTGGCTGCCCTGCGAGGAGAGGTCACGGGAACGTGGGAGCCGCTTGGCTGCTGGCGCGGGGAATGGGGTCTGGGAGTCTGGAAGAGGGGGCGAGCTCAGCCTCGGGGTGCTCATGGGGCTGATGAGACCTTCCTTCCCGCCGACAGCGAGGCAAAATCCAGCGTTTGGCCCTTCCAGCAGCATGTGGAACAGAATGGTCACATAAGGAAAAAAAAAATTAAGTAAGAGGCTTAATTCTATGTATTGAAAACAAGAGACCGCTCCCCAGTGCCCTTGTCTGAGGACATTTACATTACAAAACATGTCATTTGGGGCAGTTCATCATCTGCCTTGGGCTCAGGTTCCGCTTCGGGCTCCCTGCTAGGTGGGGAGCCTGCTTCTCCTCTCCTTCTGCCCCTGCTCGTGTTCCCTCTCTCATGATGTCTCTGTCAAATAAATTTTTTTTTTAAAAAGAAAACGTGCCATTTTACGCTCTTTCTCTGTCTCTTTGAAATATGTGTGAATCTTCTTAGAAGCTAAACAAGCTTCTTGTCTGCTTTATGATCCAGGAATGTCTTTCCCAAGGGCCTGGGATCTACCTCTTTGAAATGTTCACATCAAAGGAGATAGTGCCCATCTCTCCTGCTTCTGTGGGAGCCCAGGAGCCTAACCCAGGGGGGCTCCATGTTCCAAGCTGCAAAACTGCCTGTCGTTGTAAAGATACAAGAACTCTGGGTCGCCTGAGTGGCTCAGTGGGTTAAGCCTCCGCCTTCGGCTCAGGTCATGATCTCAGGGTCCTGGGATCGAGTCCCGCATCGGGTTCTCTGCTCAGCAGGGAGTCTGCTTCCTCCTCTCTCTCTGACTGCCTCTCTGCCTACTTGTGATCTCTGTCAAATAAATAAATAAAATCTTTAAAAAAAGATACAAGAACTCTGCTTCTCACGATCAAGCCTAACAATCACACGGACGGTCATCCATTACCCGGTGATGGCAGGATGAATGGTGCAAAAGGTGCCGTCAAGCCTCTTCCTTGAGGGCTGGTTCCTGGTTATCTTGAGTGGGTGGAACGGGCTGCGCCTGCCTGTACGTAGGGAAGGGGGAAGGTGTCTTTCTGTCTTTGCGGTCTCGTCGTGGGTTACCTGGGAGGCACGTCCCATTCTGGTTTAATGCTTCTTCAGAAAGAAAACTGTTTTTCTCTGCTACCTTTGTTGGAGAGGTTTTTCGGGGCCAGGAATTGTATTCCCCCAACATGATGCAAGTGCTTAAAAAGGAAAAAGAAAAGAAGTAGGAGGAAGGTTCTAGAGGAGTATGACCCCTAGTGGGAGTCTGGGGTCTCTGGAGGGACCTGGAGAAACTGTGGTGGTAAGGCAGAGGAATTTCTAGAAGGGACGCAGACATTCAAGTGGAAATTGTTTCCCATGAGAAAATAACAGCATAATCGCAGATAAAACACACCAGCTTCAGCTAAGTGTTTTAAACATGCTAACTCACTTCGCATACACACTAACTAGGGTGATTCTCGATTATTCCTTCCCCCTCTGCCATGTGACCCTGCTGTGCGCTAGACAGGGCAGAAAAGATGTCACGAAACAGCGGGGAAGCAGGTTCAAGGGAGGACTGATTTGGCGAGTAGGTCTCAAACAGCCTCTCCCACAGGCAAAAGCAACCTTTTGGGGTCTGTGTGGGAAAGGTCAGATACAGCTACTACATAGGGGTAATGTGAGCCATTTTACCGGGTGAGCCCCAAAACTGTGAGAACTGGCGGACACCCAGTCCTGAGCGCAGACGATGTAGGGAGGGGTCGGCCTGGGAATATAAAAGGGAATGGCAGCCTGGTAAGGACCAGACACTTCTGTGAGGTTGGGAGGCTGTCCTGCGGGCCTAGAAGCCCTCTTATCCCCAGTAACCACCATGCCATATCATTTTGAGGGTCAGGCTCAAGAAAGTAGCTTTAACTTGCCCTGCCCTAGTGTCACCAGGCATAACCTGGGAACCAAATATTTCTAAGGGACCTGGAGCAGGGCCTAGACAGAGACCTGCCGGAGGCTTCCTCAGATTCCTGGGCAGGGGTGAGTGTGACAAAGCCTGAGTCCGGAATTGGCCTCCCAGAGCTTACAAAGTCCCTAACCAGCACTGGCCCCCAGTTTCTTGCCGTTAGAGCCCCACAGGAAATATCTGGGGGGAGGGGAGAGATAAGGACAACCAGGCTGATGAAAGAAATGAGATTCAAGGCCCAGTGAAAGCTGTTTACATATAACTTTTCAGGAGAAAACAATTTGGGTAGGGGAAGAACTCATCAGGGTCAGTGAGACAAATTAATCTCAAACCGCAGGGCATGGGGCTGTGTTCACCTGGCAAGGACAAAGGTCATGGGAATCACCCTTGTATGCTGGGTTCCTACCTGACTCCGTGCAGCAGGCACCCTAACACCTGAGTCCCTAATATTTTCTGCACCCACTGAACGCCAGACAAAAGGAGCTTTGACTGCCCTACCTGTCAGGCCTGTTTCCGGTGTATCTAGGATGTGCGAAACTGGGCTGTGGGACAGAGGGGAGCAAGTCCCTGAGCTGCTACTTGTCCAGGCTCTAGGGAGCCCCTGGACGTTTCCTGCAGGGCTGGGCTCCGGTGTGGTAGAAATTAGGGACCTGAGGTCTTATGGGGAGAATGCGGGTGGGTCTACGGGAGCCCAGCACGGCCTTCCAGGGCAGCCTTCCCCAGATGCCAGCCCAGAAAAGGGGCGACTTCCTCCTCCTTTGGAAGACCCACTCACCCTCTCTTCCTCCCGCCTCCCCAGAGGCCAGGATCCTCAGCCTCGCTCCCAATAACCCCGGAGCCACCGCGACCGGCGACACCAGCCCCTAACCCCAGGCAGGGCGCCTCCATCCTCTCGGCCCCGCCCAGGCCCGGACCCCTTTATCTTTCCGCAGCGACGCCCCTTCCAGGGCAAGGCCCTGCCCACAGCCCGCGCCGCAGGTTCGGGCTAGTCCCGGGCGGGGACAGGGCAGCGCCGGAAAGTCGTGAGGAGGGCGGGCACGCAGAGCATCTTTAAAGGCCCACGACTCCCCGGAGGCGCCTTGACAGCCGCCGGCGGCCCCGGGCGATCCCCACCAGCGCGCAGGACCCGGCTCCGCGCCCGAGCTGCCGGGGGCGCCATGGGCCGCTACCGCATCCGCGTGGCCACCGGGGCCTGGCTCTTCTCCGGGTCGCACAACCGCGTGCAGCTGTGGCTGGTCGGGACGCGCGGGGAGGCGGAGCTGCAGCTGCGGCTGCGGCCGGCCCGGGGCCAGGTCAGCGGGCGGGGAAGGGGACCCCCGACCTTGGCCCGGCCTGGGTTCGCGACGGTGGGGCGGCGGGGTCGCAGGGGCGGGAGGGGGCGGACGAGGGACAGCCCGGGCGCGCCGGAGAGGACTTGCCGAGGCAGGGAGAGGATCCGGAGCCAGGGCCCCGGCTGAACTCCAGCCCCTTCTCCCTTCCGCCCGGGTCCTCACAGCCTCCACGGCTTCCCCAAGTGACCCCAGGGCCAAGGTCCATGCCGGACGAGGGGTCTGGTCTGAGGCTGCTCAGGAGAGCACTGTGCGGGGACAGCTCACGGATGGACCGAGCTCGGTGACGTCGGGTGTCTAGAGGCCTTCGGCAGCGGAGGCTCACTCTTACCAAAACGGCCTCTCCGGGGCCCCTCGTGCTCAGTGTTGTGGGCTGTGGTCCCCACAGGAGGAGGAGTTTGATCGCGATGTCCCCAAGGACTTGGGGCCCCTACAGTTTGTGAAGTTGTGCAAACACCACTCCCTGGTGGACGACGCGTGGTTCTGCGACCTCATCACGGTGCGGGGCCCGGGAGCCTTCGAAGAGGCCGCCTTCCCCTGCTACCGCTGGGTGCAGGGCCAGGGCGTGCTGAGCCTGCCTGAGGGCACCGGTGAGGGCTGGGGGGGGGGGGGGGGGGGGGGGACGCAGGTGAAGTGGCGGTCTGAGCTGGGCACAGTGGGTGCTGGGCACATGAGGTGGGGACAAGACACGGGTTAGGGCAACGTCCCTCAGTCCGGAAGTTACAGCCAGGATGAAGGGCTGCCAGGGAGGCTGGAAGGGAAGGTCGCGATCTGGAGACGCCCTCTTCCAAGAAGGGGACGGGCCCGGGGTCGCAGCAGTAACGGAAAACGGGAGAGCAGAGAGAGGGGAAAGGAGATCCGTGCGTGGCCAGACTAATGGGGGGGGGGGGGCTGTAAGGGTGTCAGGTGCAGCAGGAGACAGGGACCCCTGGGCAGGTGGCAGCTAAGGGAAGAGGATAAACGCTCCAAGCCGTGAGCCCAGAGCGGGTGTGGCTGGGGAAGCATGGAAGGAGACTGTGAGGGACAGGGAGCACCGTGACAGCAGGGCAGGGGCCTAGGAATTTGTTAGTGTGGGAAACAGGGGATGAATCGGGAGACACACCAGGGCAAGGGCAGCAAGGATGGAAACGTGGAAGCTACAGCTTTGACACAGGCAGGGACGGGCCCAGAGGGCAGGAGCAAGTCAACAAGGACTGTGGTGGGAAGTCTAAGGAGGGCGGCCCCGGGAAAGACAGCCGGCACCGCTGCACTCAGCAGCTTTCGAGGACAGTGGAAGGTGTGACAGGCGAGGCTGGAAACGTGGAATCGAGCCAGGCGGTACGTGGTAGAAACAGGTGTGGTCCCATGGGTCATTAAGACGGTCTCAGCCTGATGAAGGGGATGAATCCGACCATAGGTAGGATGATTAGGGTCCGGTAGGGACAGACAAATTGAGGGAGAAAGGGGACACGCAGGGGAGAGCAAGGGCCACACAGAACCGTGCAGTCAATCATCTTAATGCCCGACCCCCCAGCACGCCTGCCAGGAGACAATGCCCTGGACGTATTCCAGAAGCATCGAGAGAAAGAACTGAAGGAAAGACAAACGCTGTACTGGTGAGCCCCGGCCCACGAGCCCCCCAAAGGTCCCCCCTTCCCTGGCCCTGCCCCCCTCGCTGACCTACACACCCTCCCTGAAGCCTGGGCCCCATCTCCTAGCTGGGATACCTGGAAGGAGGGGCTACCCCTGACGATAGCGGCCGGTTGTCAAGACGATCTGCCTCCGAACATGAGGTTCCATGAGGACAAGAGGCTAGACTTCGAGTGGGCGCTGAAGGCGGGGTGAGGAAAAGCCTGGGGCTCAGAGAGGAAGAGGGCCAGGAGACCCAGGAACGGGGTGACAAGGGAGGGGCCGAGGGCTCGGCGACTGGGTTCACGTCTCCACGCTTGTTTAGGGCACTGGAGATGGTCCTCAAACGTGTTTACACCCTCCTGAGCCCCTGGAACCGCCTGGAGGATTTTGATCAGATCTTCTGGGGCCAGAAGAGCGCCCTGGCTGGTCAGTGGTTCCCCAAGATCCCTATAGACCCCTGAGAGCCCCTTTGGATGACTTGACTGCCACACCCCAGAGTCCCCCATGACCCCTTCCCTTAGGAGGCCTGAACATCTCATAGAGGCCTCCGGAATGAAAAGCCAGGGGCTGGAGACGGGGTGATCGTGTGCCAGAACCGCTGGGCTAGGGCCTGGGGGAGAGGGACCTCTGGGCTGTGATAAGCACCCCATCCTCCCCCACCTGACCCCACAGAGAAGGTCCACCAGTGCTGGCGGGATGACGAGATTTTCGGCTACCAGTTCCTCAACGGGGCCAACCCCATGCTGCTGAGACGCTCCGCGTCCCTGCCCTCCCGGCTGGTGCTGCCCCCGGGACTGGAGGCACTGGGGGCCCAGCTGGAGAGCGAACTCCAGGTACTGCCTCCCATCCTGCTGGTTCCCCTGGCCATGCAGCGAGAAGAAGTGCTGAACGGGGGGTGGAGGGGCACCAAAGATGAGTCAGGGGGAGGGAGGCTGTGGGCACCCGCCCTGCCTGGGTGCAGAGTCCCGTGCTGGAAAAACCTACAGGTGACAAAGCGTGCAGGGGAAACTGTGAGGCGCTCCCAGGGTGGAGGGCAATGGCATGGGTTCCCAGGGCACAGGTGGGGCCAGCGATGGTAACAGGGACAAGGACATTCGCTGGCTGCTGTCCAGACTCCCGACCCAGAGACTCAGGCAGGGGGGACGGTGAAGGAGGCGCTGCCAGGGGTGGAGAGCGGGGAGGTCTCTCGGAAGAGAGTGGGGTTCGGAGAAGAGAAGCCGGGTGTGAGCGTGCGCGGGCCTGCGCGGGTGTGTGCTGGATTCCGCGACAGTGTACACTAGGGGCCCTGGGGGTGGCCGGCAGCAGAGCAGAGGTTTGGACACGTGGGGAAAGAGCTCAGTTTGCTGAGCCGGGGGGTCGCTGGGGGCAAACACAGGGAGCAGCCAGGGAGGGGTGATGGCAAGGGGGCCGGCCAGCCTGGCTGAAGGGCGGCTTCCAGCACCGGCACTGTGGACAGCACTGTGCACAGGCTGGGTCCTGACCCGGGGCTGCTCTCGCACACGGGGCTCTGTTTGTCCGTTCACGTCTATAAACCGAGAGGCGCTGGCCCAGATGCTCTAGTCCTGCCAACAGGACGCTGGTACCGACACAGGATGGCGGCCGGAAGCTACATCAACGTGTCCCCCTTGGTCCTGGCCCTGGAGGCGTGCTTTCCACTTGAACCATGGGCACCTTCCTCCTCTCCCCAGAACGGTTCCCTGTTTGAGGCCGACTTCATCCTGCTGGATGGAATTCCAGCCAACGTGATCCGGGGCGAGAAGCAGTACGTGGCCGCCCCCCTTGTCCTGCTGAAGATGGAACCCAATGGGAAGCTGCTGCCCATGGCCATCCAGGTGAGGCGCCCTGGGCGCGCCCCACCCCGCACGGCTCTCTGTTCGCCCCAACCTCCGCTCCTGGGGATGTAGCCCCCACTCCTTGGCTCTCAAACGCTCCTCCTCACACAATGAGACCTGTCTCCTGTCACTGTGTTTGCCTGCAGTCTGCTTTCCCCTGACTCACCCAACTGGAAGTTCTTGTTCTGCTCCAGAGCCACAATGGCCTTTTGGATTCTCACCCTGGACCCGCTGGTTCTCAGACTTTAGAGGGCATTGCAGTCACTGGCGGGCCCGTTAGCGTACGCGGCTGGGGCCCACCGCTGGACTTCCTGATTCCGTAGGTCTGGGCTGGGGACGGAGCGTGTGTATTTCTAACATGCCCCCGAGTGATGCTGGTTTGGGAACATACTTCGAGAAACACCCTACTCCCCCTGAGCCTTTCTGACTCCAAACACCCACCATCAGATGAACACCCTTTCTCCCGCGGTTCTCAGCAGCTACAAGTACTGTCCGCTGTCTCACCTGTCCGGCTTCCTTTCCCACTGGCCAGCCCCCCCCCCCCGGCAGCATCTCCTCCCTGCAGCCCCCGCTTTGACGCTCCTGCCTTCACCCCCTCCATCCAGGCACTGGTGTGGCGACATCGCCAGCGAGAGGCAGGGCAGAAGATGGCCTCAGCCCTCCCCCTGGATTGTAACCCCCGGGGAGCAACCATCTTCCTCACTCCCCTGCCATCCCCACCGACCCCCTACCACCCACCACAGAAAAGCAAAGGCTTGATAATGGGCTTGATTTCCTGCTTACAGATCCAGCCCCCCAGCCCCAGATCCCCAACCCCGCCACTGTTCCTGCCCTCGGATCCCCCACTTGCCTGGCTCCTGGCAAAGACCTGGGTCCGAAACTCTGACTTCCAGCTCCACCAGCTCCAGTACCACCTCCTCAACACTCACCTGGTGGCCGAGGTCATCGCTGTGGCCACCATGAGGCGCCTCCCGGGGCTGCACCCCGTCTTCAAGGTACGTGCTACGCTCTACCCTCTGTGTCCCCGGGGACAGGAAACAGCCCGAGAGTCAACGACATGGCAACCACAAAAATGTTTCTGTCAGTTTGTGAGAGCAAGAAGGGAGACAAGACAGAAGATCGCCTCCCCCGCAAATCCCCATTCAGTCGCGTCATTTAGGGTTCCTTGAGAACATCTTACTAAAGGAGCCCCCTGAAATTCTCAGAGAGCTGCCGACCTAGCAATGGGCCTGGATTCTAGCAGGAGTGTTGTTAGGAAAACAGCAGCCTTGTTCCTGCCTTAGGAGCCTCTCTGTGCAGCCAGAAGGACACGTGACGCCCATGAGACCATCCAGAGACCAGTGTCTGGAATTAGAAATTACAAGAGACAGCCCACAGACACCAGAGAATTAATGGGAGAATGTTCTACCCCAGCCGAGGAGTTTGCTAAGTAGGAACATATCAGAAGGCAAGGGACACCCCGGGAGGCAGGTGGAGAAAGACACACGTTGGAAAGTTGGTGATCTGGAAGAGAAGTAAAAAGAAACCAAGGACTTGGCTGGGGGTGGGGAGCCACAGTGCGCCTGGGCACCAGACCAGAGAAAGAAAGGCCAGAGGGCCATGCTGTGGCAGCATCCAGCAACCCACAAGCTGTGGGTGTGCTAAAGACCTAGAAATACCGAAATTTGCCAAAAGAGTGAGCTCAGTATCCATTGCTAAGCAGAAGGCAACAAAATAAGACTCACAGTTGTGTAAAAATGTCCTCAACATCTTGCACATGGCCGAGAAGGGACAAATCCAGGGGTAACTGCCAGAAACAGCCCACTCGGAAGGAGAGCCAGTCTGGAAGCAAAGAGCAGGGCTTCCATTTTAGGTGCCAGGAGCGGAAATGTTGGCAAGATATGCACACGAGTTCCAACGCCGGGGTTTCAGCTGGGGGCTTCCCGGCACCCCCACCCCCAAGCCCCAGCCCCCGGTAGCCGTGGCCCCTCTGAGTCTAGGGTAACACAGACCAGACGGATTTACGGCTCTCAGGGTGCTCCTGCGTCACAATCTTCTGGTCTTCGGGAACAGGTCAGGCTTCTCTTCAGGCTCACGCTCCCCCATCACGAGGTCAGCCCTGTCCCCACCTATGTCAGCCTTGACCCAGGGCAGACGGCTGGGCCGTGATCAGTCCCACGGGGGAGCAGTCTGCTCACTCACAAAGATTCTGTGCGCGGGCTGGCTCTGGCCTCGGCTGCTGGGGTGCGCATCCAGAATCCTGACCTCCTGAATCCAGAATCCTGAGCGCCACAGCGGGGTTGTGAAAGGACAGAATGACAGAACACAGCCGCATGACACTGGCTAAAAGCTAAGAAAGTCCTTCGTTCTTGCAAGGACCACTCCTGTCATTAGGGGCTGCTTGTCCTCAGGTGGCCGCTCTGCTCCCGTGGACTCTGGGCTTTCTAGGACACTCGGCGTCTCTCGGGAACTTTCTGGAAAGTTTCGGGCCAGTGCGAACTGCCTTCACATCTTGATCCCGGAGGCCCCACTTGGGTCGTTCCCTGAGCGCAGCACCTACACATCAGACAGACAGCAGCACCGCATGACGGCCGCACATATGCTGGGTGCAAGTAAGACAAGACAGTCGGGAGTCAAAGGCCTTCCTGCAAGGACCAGAGGGCCTTCTTCCATAGCTAGCACGAGTGTTTGCTAAAGCTATACAACAGAGGGATCTGACCGCCCAGCTCAGGGTGGCACAGGTCTGATGTCAGTCCCTCTGTGGGGTCAGCAGGAGGCTCAGTGGGGTCCCCCTAAGTGACTCAAGGCACCCACCCCGAAAAGGGGCCTCGCACCACAGCCCCCAGCAGGGAAGCGGCCAGAAGACAGCTTCAGCTGTGAGGACGTGAAGGACAGAAACATAAAGTCCATCACAGGGGCTGGTTCTTGACACCAGCGCTCAAGGTGGGAACAGAGACAAATGGGAACGGCTCCAGCACAAGGGGCTCCGGGGGGGCCCGACGGCCAGTGCGCTGCAGCCCCCGAGACGGGAGGCCCCGTCATCACCCCCAGTCCACAGGGACGGGAACTGACACAGATCAACACTCAGAGGGCCCATGACCCTGGACGAGCACGGAAGCCAGTGCTTTAGTACAGCGTGATGGGCAGCAGGGGGCAGGGAGAGCAGGAAAGGGAGCGATGGGAGTGACGGGAGCAGTGGAAAACCAGACCCGCGGGGCAGGCGGGGCAGCAAGGAGGGCTTCCAGCGGGGAGAGGCCACGAGGCTGGGCGCCATGCCCCATGAGGCAGGACCCCGCGTGGCCTCCATAACCACCCCCACCCCCTCCACCCCAGCTCCTGATCCCCCACATCCGCTATACCTTGGAGATCAACACCCGGGCCAGATCCCAGCTCATCTCAGAAGGAGGGATATTTGATAAGGTGAGGAGGTAACAGGGCCTTGTGGGGGCGGGGCCGCTCGTCACCCGGCTCTCCGTGACCTCCTGCCGCTTTCAAGATCCCAGACCAACCCGGGGGAGTGTCCTGACCCTTAAACCCACGAGCCTGTCCCTTCCTCCCATGTCTGTCAATGAGCAACCCCACCTCGGAGCCCCTTGCTCAGCTCCATCCTGTCGTTCAGGGCCTCCCCTCTCTGCCCTCTCTGCCGTTGCAGGCGGTGAGCACGGGTGGTGGGGGCCACGTGCACTTGCTGCGTCGGGCCATGGCTCAGCTGACCTACTGCTCCCTCTGTCCCCCCGATGACCTGGCTGACCGGGGCCTGCTGGGAATCCCAAGTGCCCTCTATGCCCATGACGCTTTACGGCTCTGGGGGATCATCGCCCGGTGGGTGACGGTGGGAGCAGAGGGGGAGAGCGGGGAGAGCGGGGCTCCCACCTGACTTCACATGGGCCCAAACCCCACGTGGAAGCAAGAAGGGCCTGACAGGAGGGGCAGGAACTCAGTCCTGGGCTGAGAAGGAAGAGTCAGGAGGCAGCAGGGAGGGTCTGAAGCGGAAGAGACGGGGACAGGAAGTGCGGGGAGGTGAAGCCGCCGGTGGCTAAACCACAGGGTCCCAGGGCCTGGATGGGGTCAGGGGAGTTTGTCAGGAAGAACACCTTTCAGCCATGAGGCCAAAATTTATTTAAAAAAAACCTTAAAATGTTTCCTTCCTTTCTAAACCCATGTTTTGAAAGAGCTAAGGGATGTCCCCAAAGACGAGTCTTGTAAAATCTGTCCCCAGACACAGCGGGAGTCACCTGGGCCCAGGCCGCCGGAAAGCAGTCGAGGCTCTTCTCGTGGGAAGCTCACCTCCCTTCTCCCCCGGGCAGGTACGTGGAAGGCATCGTCCACCTCTTCTACCACAGGGACGACGTTGTGAGAGGGGACCCGGAGCTGCAGGCCTGGTGTCAGGAGATCACCGAGGTGGGGCTGTGCCAGGCGCAGGACCGAGGTAGGACCCTTCCCCAGGGATGGGGGCCGTTGGGCCGCTCTGCCCCTTTGGTTCAGGACCCCAACCCCGCACCCCACCTCCCTCTCCAGCCATGTGCGTAGCATCTCAATCCCATTCCCACCTGCTAAGACTCAAGCCACTTCTAGACACACCCAGGGGCTGTCCTCCTCAGAGACCCTGGCCATCACCCTCTACTGCCATCCCCAAGCCCCAGGCACATCGTGGGGCCCAAGCATGGGGCCCCATAAGACCAGAACCGCAGCCAGGGCGGGATCTGCCCAGGCCCTGCTGGGGCCCCTGTTCTCCTCCTGGTTGTCTGTTTTCTCACATGAGGATAGAGATACATGGGAAGAGCTTCCAGCAAGACCCATGATGTCCCACACTGCTTTCCCTCCCTGCTTCTCCCACCTGCCACTGTCCAGCACACACACATGTCCTGGGAGCACAGCGCATGTCCCACACTGCCCTAGTCCCATCCCGTCCCATCCCAACTTAGTACTGTACAGGTTCATGCCAACTGGGACCCCGCGCACGGCCCCTTGGGGCCACATTTTGGGTCCAGTTCCCCCTCCCCTCGGCTAGGATCTGGCTAGACCTGGGGCACCCCAACCTGCATTTTAACCTCTGGGGAAGGAACAGCCTTTCTTGAGCTCTTGCTAGGTTCGTCCTCCCCTCTCTAGCACACATGGGCCTGTGGGGGCTGCTTTAGATCATTCTTGGGGTACATGCCAGCACCTCTGGCTCTCTGGGACAACTCCAGATGATTACTGGGGAGAACCAGGCCCCAGGGATGCGGCCAACACCCACATTCACCCTTCTGGGCCCAAACTTTGTCTTGGACACCTCAGAACTGTCTCTCAGATCCCCAAGGCCCCTGGAAGGCCCTTCCTCTCTCTCCCTGCTCAACTTCTCCCCAACCACTCTCTATGTTGGGGAAACAAAAATAAACATTCACGTGTCAGCTTTAATCTCCACCAACTGCCTCTCATCCTCTCTTCTCCGCTCGCCTCAGTTCTCATCACGCACTTTGCCTAATTTTCCCAACAGCCTTTTTAGAGGAAGTGTGCTAAAATTAAAAACAGCTTGAGAGTAGCAGTCAGGAACCTGAGTTCAAGGTCAGCCTCTGCCTTTTCCAGACCATGTGATCCTGACAAGTAGTTCTCTCTCTCTGGTCTTTGATTTTTTTTTTTAATTGATAGAAAGGGAGTGATTATATTTGTTCCACTTAACGCATAGGCTTAGTGGCTCTAAGTCACCATCTCCACTGTAGAATCAGTGGCCTGAGATAACCTTTGTGGAAAGCCTCTCTTGGCCGTGACACTATAAATACACGACTTCTTCTGTTGCTCCCTTTATAACTCAGGCATTTACAACCCTCTATTGGAGAACAGGAGGAAACGTCCCTAAATTCCTAACCACTTTTTGAGGCAGAAGATATTCAAGCCCTCAGTGTTTTTCAGTCCCAATAATAACAATTCCATAATAATTCCATAATAACAATAATCATTATTTACCAAGCCTTTGTCACGTATGAGGTGATTTCAATATGTTATCACCCACATTTTATAAGTGAAAAAATGGAAATTCAGAGAGATTAAGTAATCAGCCTAAGACACCCAGATTATATTGCTTGAACCTGAAGTGAAACTTAGGTCTAATGCCAATGTATTTGAATAAATAAATGAATAGACACCCATCAAAGCCAAAATACAGTGGACCCTCAAACAGTGTGGGGTGGGGTGGGGGGATTAGGGGCACTGACCCTCCCCCCCACACACCGAGCAGTCAAAAATCTGCCTATAACTTTCGACTCCCGGAAAACTTAACTACTAAGAGTCTACTGTTGACTGGAAGCCTTCCCAATGACATAAAGAGTCAATTTGCCCCATCCTGTGTGCCGTATGCGTTGTACGCTATATTCTGACAGTAAAGCGAACTAGAAAAGAGAAAACATGAAGAAAACCATACAAAGGAGTAAATGTATGTCTGTACCCACTATAAAAAAGCCACACCTAAACGGACCCACGCAGTTCAAGCGCGACTAGTGTAGACACCCCCAACACGACCACCTGCATTTCTCTCCTCTCGCACTGGAGCCCCTAAATCCTGTTCCTCTCTGGCAGGTTTCCCTGTCTCCTTCCAGTCCCAGAAGCAACTCTGCCATTTCCTTACCATGTGTGTCTTCACATGCACTGCTCAGCACGGGGCCATCAACCAGGGCCAGGTATGAGAGCCGAAAGCCCAGGTCCCTGAAGGCAGGCATCTGGACCTTGGGATTCCTAAGGGAGAGACAGGGGCTCAAAGCATAAGTTTTAGGATCCTAGGGTTGCAGTTTCTTCCCCCAGCTGGACTGGTATGCCTGGGTCCCTAACGCCCCATGCACAATGCGGATGCCCCCACCCACCTCCAAGGAAGAAATAACGATGGCCACGGTGATGGCTTCACTACCTGATATCCGACAGGCCTGTCTTCAAATGACCATCACGTGGCATCTGGGTCGCCGCCAGCCAGACATGGTAAGAGGGGACTCTGGGGAAAGGGAAGTGACAGTTGGAAGGGAAACATCGGAACAGAGGCTAGGCCCTCCGTGCTTCTGCCTCTAGACTGAAAACTGATGCATCCTTTGTCCTTTCCTAGGTGCCTCTGGGGCATCACAAAGAAAAGTATTTCTCAAGTCCCAAGGCCAAGGCGGTATTAAACCAATTCCAAACAGATTTGGAAAGCCTAGAAAGAGAGATCACAGCCCGGAATGCGCGACTTGACCTGCCGTATGACTACCTGAAACCCAGCCGCATAGAGAACAGCATCACTATCTGAGACCTGTGGCATCCCCACCTCCAAGACTTCAGATCAGCTCTAGGACTAACGTTTCCAGTTTGAATGTCATGGTTTCCAGAGTCTCTGCGGCTAAAGCTCTATTTTCTCCCCCAACCAAATCCCCAACGTTGGTATCCCCTCCATCCAGGGAGGGCAACAAACCTTTTCCATAAAGGCCAGACGATAAATATTTTAGGCTTTGTAAGGCTGCATCATCTCTGTCCCAACTACTTAGCTTTCCCAATAGAGCACAGAAGCAGCCACCAGATGATAAGGAAGTTAAGGAGTGTGACCGTGTTCCCATAAAAAAATTACTTAAGAACAGTGAAATACGTCACAAAATTCTCTTCTTCCTTTGGTTGGCTCCACCGTTTAAATATGCAAAGAGGATCTGTGCTTTGCGAATGGGACAGGCACAGGCTGTGGGCTGGATCTGACCCTCGGGGGCCATCCTCATACCAGGTAACCCTGCATTAGCCTGAGGCACTGACCCTACTTGCCAAACAGCCAGAGGATGCTCTGAGGGGGGACGGGGAAGATTTCCTGCATAAATCAACTACCTCAACTAATTCTCCTTTCCCAGGAGCTAGATCCCCTACACCGGTGGCCAACCTAAACCTTTATGACTCTGTGCTTTGGCAATGTTCCCTCCACCCTGTTCCCCCTCTTCACGTGCCAACGCCAAAAGTCCTCCAGTAAGGATGGTGTTCCTGGGGAGAAGAAAAACCTGCCATTCCTGGATGGCTCCTTGCCCCCCGGCAGCCTCCAGCTAAGAAGACCTGAGATTCCTGTCCCAGGGCCCCTTTCCCAGCCCCTGCAATAGTATTCCCAAGTCTGTATGTGTTTCCCTGGGTCTGAGTTCTCTGTCACAAGCTGTTTAAGAACAATAAGCATAAAATAAATGGGAAAAAATGTTACAGAGTCATGTCCACTGCTGACCAGTGTGTCTTTGTGTGGTTCTGGGGTCTTGGGATCCAAATGACCCCTCTCGATTATGCTGCAATCGCTGTCCTCACTAGAACGTGTACAGACAGCTCAGTGCAGAACTGAATTCTTCCAACGCCCAATTTCCCTAAATGACCATCACAAAGCTGCCTCTCACCGCTGAAGCATACAAACTTTTTTCCCCCCAGAGGGTGACCTATTCATGTTTTTAAAAACCGTGTACCCTCCCTTATCCAAAAGACCTAGGGTCAGTCTCCTTGGTGTACATGGGGAGGCAAAGCAACACCGTGCGTCCTCACTCCTCTGTCCAACACGACCGGCAGGACGACTCTACCTCACCACCGGTTCTCTGGCTCTGCTCCCCCCGCACTCTTCCGAGCGCCCACATTCTTCTGGACTCGGCCTCCAAGACCATGCAGCATTCTGTGATCGGGAACAAAATGGCACTTCATGGGGCACCCCCGGGGCGAGGGACCCGCGGCCACTTGAAGGCGTCCTGGCCACGGCGGTCCTCGGGAAGGGGCTCCTAACCCCCGCTCCCTGTCGGGACAGCTCTGCGCCAAGGCAGGGTGAGAAGACAGGAGACAGGGGCCTTCTTTCTCGCTGTCAGTCTCCGTGTCTCACTTACCACGACCCCAGTCCAGGGCAGCACCCGAAACTAAGGCATCTGCGGGCAAAACCGGCGAGCTGCAAGCCTCCGCACCCAGCAGCCCATCGCCAGGGTAACCAGGCCGCCAATCCCCTCCTTCCCCACGCCCGGCGCCTGCGGGCTCCTCATCACGTGACTTGCCTGGTTCGTCACGTGGCGCGCAGGGTCCTCCCATTCCAGCCTGAAAGTGGGGGGACCAGAAACGGGAGGCGTTGCTGCTGCAACACTGCGCCCCGGCTACAAGGGTCCTAAGGGGCTTCTGAGGGGCTGCTTCGGCCTCACACACCGCCTACCCCTGCCGGAGATCAGGGAGGGCCCGGAGGCGCCCCGCGATCCCCGGCGGACCCCCCGGAGCGATGGTTGGGGCCTGAGGCCACGCCCCCTTGGCGGCGTTCCCGGCGGCCAGTCCTCGGCGGCGCGAGTCCCCGGGTCCCGCTCGCTCTCCCCGGGCGCATCTGGGCCTTCCTCTCGCCGCATTCCCGCTCCGCCCGCAGCTAGGCGATCCCCGACCCCCTTCCTCATGGCGTCGCTTCTGTGCTGTGGGCCCAAGCTGGCCGCCTGCGGCATCGTCCTCAGCGCCTGGGGGGTGATCATGTTGGTGAGGGACCGCCCGGCGACGGCCGGACAGGGCCCGAGGGCCCTCGGAGTTGGAGGGCTGGAAGGCTGGGGGACTTCGGGCCTTAGAAGGCAGCAGGCAGGCCGGAGGGAGTGGTCGATGCGCCGCTGGAGAAGGAGACAGCTGAGATAGAGAAATGGGGAACTCGAGCGGGGCGGGGGTGGGGGGAGCCCTCGAGGTAAGAGGGAGAGGAGCTGGGCCCTTGAGAGATGCCTGCGCTGAGCGGAGGGCAGCGGGGAGGGGGAGCGCTGCTTCCCGAAATGGGCAGCCGCGGCCTTGTTTCCCCGGGGTGACCCGCCCCGCTCTGGGAAGAAATAGTACGTGATTTTCCCCGACCCCCTCCTCCTTGTCCCGTGACAACGACGCCTCTGGAGAGGAGGACAGTCTGGCTTGCTCACTGTTCTGCCCTTGCACTGCCCCAGTCGTCTCTCCCGGCTCCCACCCCAGTCCTGGTGACGGAGTCCGAGCCCCGCAGCGGCCTGCCCAGTCCCAGCGCGTTCCGGTGGCTCCCAGACCCGGGCGTTGTGGCAACATTAGAAGTGGGAGGGGCTTGGGGAGCGACCAGGTTGGGGGTCGGGGTTCAGGGAACCCGTCCGCTGCCTCTTTGCAGATCATGCTCGGAATCTTTTTCAATGTCCATTCGGCCGTGCTAATCGAGGACGTCCCTTTCACCGAGAAAGATTTTGAGTAAGTAGTCAGGTGGCAGAGGCGGGCCGGGGGCAGGGAGAGGTGGCCAAGGCCCCGAGTCGTAGGCTCTGGTGGCGGGGTGCCTGGGCCCCGAGGCTGGAGAACTGAGCTTTTCACCTTAGCGCGCTCGGAGTCGGGCCCCACGGCCCCCTCGCAGCCCAGGTGCAGCTGCTTCGGTATTTTACTCGACTGCCCTGGGCCGCAGTCCCCCTCCCGCCGGGAGCTCGCGATCCTGGAACTCGCCCCAGAGGGTTGGAGGAAGCTTGAGTAACGCGAGTAAAAGCGCTAAGGCGGAGCCCGGCGCCCGGGAAAGGCCGGCCGCCGCGAGTGCTGCTGACCATTGTTTACCCCATGCCCGCCGCAGGAAGGACCCCCAGAAGATATATGACCTGTACGAGCGAGTCAGCTACAACTGCTTCATCGCCGCGGGCCTCTACCTCCTGCTCGGAGGCTTCTCTTTCTGCCAAGTCCGGCTCAACAAACGCAAGGAGTACATGGTGCGCTAGCGCTCCGCCGGCCCCCCGTCCGCCCCCCCCTCTATTTAAAGACTCTCCCCAGGGGCCAGCGTCCGGACCCCGCGCGGGGAGGCTGGGGCCGGCCGTCCTCGGTCCCTCCACAATAAAGCGGAACTGCCCTCCTGAGCCGTGTGTCTGTGCTTGGGGCCGGGGCGGGCGCGGGGCTGGCACCGGGGCGGGCGGGGGCGGGAGGGCGGCCGCGCGCCGCAAGCCGACCCGCCGGCGGAAGTGGAGGGAAGCCGGGCCGGAAGTGAGGCGGTGTCCGGCCCTCGGGCCTCGCTCGGCGGCCGCCGCCGGAGCCACCGCTGCTGGCGAGGCGGGGAGCGGCCGCCGGGGAGCCAATCGGCCGCGGGGAGGGGTGGGACTTCCTGCGCGGGGGCCCCCAGCGGCTCGGTTGCCCGGCTCCGTGGTCCCCGGCTCGGCGGCGGTGGCGGTGGCGGCGGCGGCGTCTCCTCCGTGGGGAGGCGCGCGGGGCCATGACGTCAGCGTCCACCAAGGTTCGGCCTCGCTCGCGGACAGCGCTCCCTGGCGGCCGCGGGCGGGCGGACCCATCCCCCTGCCGGCGGCGCCGGCTCTTCCGCTTGGGGCGGGGGGCCGGGGGCGGGGGCCGGGCGGGAGCCGCGCTGGGGTGGGGCCAGGGGCTCCGGGCGGGACGGCGCGGGGTGTGCGCGGCCCCCCGTGACGCCGCCCCGCCCCCAGGTCGGAGAGATCTTCTCCGCGGCGGGCGCCGCCTTCACGAAGCTCGGGGAGCTGACGATGCAGCTGCATCCAGTGGCCGACTCTTCCCCCGCGGGGTACGTGAGACGGGCGGGCGCGCCGACTCGGCCACCGGCGCGGACGCTCTTGGCAGGGACAGGTGGCGGAGTGCCCTGCGCCGGGCGCCGCGCTGAGCGGGCGCGGAGAAGCGCGGGTCACGGGAGGCACGGCGGGTGCCCCCGGAGCCTGCGGCTCCCGACCCGGGCCCTGCGGGCTGACCTGAGCGCCGCTCACTGCGATCGCGGTTCTGAGAGCCCCGCGGGTGGGGTTGCTTCCAGCGGGCCCCTCACAGCCGCGGCCGCCCGGGGCTCGGGCACAGGCAGGCTTTCTTTGATCGTGGCTGTTGGGACAGGTGTGGTTGGGGTCTTCAGGACGCCCACAGGGCGTTAAGGGGGAGGAAACCCTCTTTAGGGACCCACGGAAGGGACCCCAGGGACTGAGGGGAGGAGGCTGGCGGCTGTGGAATGCACAGCCTGTGGGCTGGCTGCACACCCCCCTCTTCCCACTTTCCTGTCCCCTTCTCCCCCCTGACAGTGCCAAGTGGACGGAGACGGAGATAGAGATGCTGAGGGCTGCCGTGAAGCGGTTTGGGGACGATCTTAATCACATCAGCTGTGTCATCAAGGAACGGACAGTGTGAGGGAGGGTGGCCGGCAGAGGAAGGGGGGTGGGCACCGTCTTCCTGCACACCCGCGGTCCATCTTCCTGCGAACCCCCTTCCAGCTCAACGGCCTTTCCTGCCTCGCTGCTAGCTGTGTTAGCGCGAGCTCGAAGACTGAGAATAAGAGTGGGTCAGAAGTTACTGAAATGCTGTCCTAAGCAGGACCTTCCGAGAGTTTTATTTCGGGTTGCCTGAGATGCCCAGGCCCCGAGTTTGGTGATGGGAGTCCCCTGGCGGTTTACACAGCTCCTTCGAGCTGCTGCTGCAGTGTTTCTGGGGGTGCCATGACACTGAACTAGCTGATTGGAGTCTACTCCTAAGTCTCAGTCTGCCTGTGGGTCACCAGAGCTCACCTGGTAGCTTTGCGCGCCCGCACATCTGTCCCACGAGAGAAGTAGGACGCGGGCCTTCCCCACTGCACGGTTGAGGTGGTCCACTCTTCACATCCCATCTGCCCTGAGTGTGTGCGAAGCTTCAGGAGAACACAAGAACCCTACAAATGGCTGGCGCCCTAACCTCGGTGCTCACAAAGGGCTCCCCAGTATTCCTTCACAGTGGCCCGTCAGCCCTGCCCTTCCCCTCCCTTCTTCCCTCCTGCGCTCTGATGACTCCCTAACCTGCTCTCTTCTCTTCAGGGCCCAGATAAAAGCCACCGTGAAGCGCAAGGTATACGAAGACTCCGGCATCCCTCTTCCAGCTGAGTCTCCCAAGAAAGGACCCAAGAAGGTGCCTTCCGGTGTCTTGTCACCTCCTCCAGCTGCCCCTCTGCCAAGCAGCTCCAGTGTCTCTGAGGCCGGGGGTCCCCCCGTAAAGAAACAGAAGGCCGGTGAGGGCTGCTGAGTGGCTACCTGGGGGCTCAAGGTCCTGTCTGAGGTTCAGGGAGAGAATCGGGTGGGTCAGAGAAGGATCCATCTCTCTTCCTTTCCCTGTCAGGGTTCCCTGAGAGTGGCTCAGGTGGCCGAGGGAGGGGGAGCTGGGGGGCAGTCAGAGAACCTAGAACCTAGCTTATGCTGTGCCCCCCCCCCACTCCCCAGATGTGACACTCAGTGCTCTGAACGACTCGGATGCCAACAGCGACCTGGTGGATATTGAAGGGCTGGGAGAAACTCCTCCAGCCAAGAAACTCAACTTCGACCAGGGTAGGAGTCCTCCTCCTCCCACTCCCACACCAGCTGGAGGCGTGGGGGATGGACTCCGCAGGAGCCCCCTCCCCCGGTACAGAGGCTTGGGAAGAGCAGGTTCCCCGGTATCAGCAAGGAGCTGGGGGCTCGGGGGAGGTAGGAGTGGTCTTGGAAGCAGGTGCTGGGTTGGGGGGGGTGGTCTTGGAAGTGTACTTGGGGCTCGCTCCATCTCGGCCCATTTTGCTTCCTGTTCCAGACAGCCTGACCCTGGATTCTGGCCTTCTCATGACCTCTGCTGACCCTCCTCTACTCTCTCGCTGAGCCTCCCACCTCTGACCCCTCTCACTGTTCCCCCTGGACCTGTGGATCGCCCGGGACTCTGAGCAAGCCTGCACGAGAGGGACAGTCACAAGGCTGCTGGGGCCATACCAGCCACGCCGTTCCTGTACGCGCATCTGCCCCTGAACCCCTCTGACCTCCACCTGATGGACTTTTTTATACAGAAAACAATAAAGATTGCCCTTTCCGCCTGGTGCCTGCAGTGTCACGTGATTGGGGCACTGTGGGCGACGGCCTCCCTCCTGAGGCCCCGGGGCTCGGCCCCTCCTCGCGGGTCTCACCACCCTGCCTGGAGCAGCACAGCCCATATTGGCAGACTCTGTGCCCAGTGCCAATATTTCTGTGCTGCTAGAGCCAGGGGAGCTGGGTGTGGGCAACAAAGACTCCAGTCCACTCTCCAGAGGCCGAGCCTAATCCCAGGACCTCTGGCAGTCCATATTCCTGAGGCCGCCCTGGGGAGTTGAGAGGGGCCATTTCCAGTGCTCCCAGCACCCCCCCCCCGCCCCCCACCTCACAAGAAGGCCCAGATGTTTTCTGTGTCGCTTCTCCAGGGTGGCCTCCCGGGGCCAGGCCTCGGCGGTGCCTCCCCCACCCTCGCTCTAACACCACAGTGTGGTTTGGACGTGGCCACAGAGCCGTGCAAACCACAGTGTGCTGCTGGGGCGGGAGCAGGACTGGGGTGGCTTGAGAGGAAGGGAGCACAAGATGGTGCCGTGAAGACCCCCATCACCAGGAGCGGGGACCTAGAGAAGGCTCAGAAGGCAAACACGGCCCCAAGAAGGGTTGCAGGGGCAACGAGGAACCAGGGCGAGGAGCTGGCAGGCCACAGGAGGGAGAGGGGCCTATGGGCTGAGCCCACCGTGGGATACGACTGGAACCACCTTCCCTCCGTAGCAACTCTGCTCAGGGGACCCCTCGGGTGGGGTCAGAGGCAGAGGAAACGGGATGACTGGGGGGGCCACACGCTGCCTCCCGACTCAGCAAGGGCAGGGACCCAAGGCTTCCTGTGTCCGTTCCTCCCCTCCCTGGGTCAGAACCCAAGAGAAAGCAAGGAGAGACAGAAGGCCAAGGACAGCAGGGTTGGGAGTTGGCAGTCCAGAGGTGGTGGGGCCGGAACATGGTGGGGAGAGGGGGGCCGGAAGTCGCCCTGGGCCCTGGGCCTGCCACAAGATGGAGGCCAAAGGCAGGAAATGGAGGCCAGGGGGAAAGGGGAGCAGCAGGGCCCAGGAAGAGGGCTGTCTGGACCTGGGGGCCAGGTACTCAACCCTCAGCACTGTTCCCACTCCCCACTGCCCCCCAGGGCCCACACCCGACCCCCCGCGACAACCCCCATCAGCCCATCCACCAGGCCCAGGAAGGCGGGCCCACCCCAGAAAGCCACGTTTAAGCTGAGACAAACATGGCTCTCCCCACCCCCACCCTAGGCCTTCCCTTAGCCTTTTCCTCCTGTCCAAGACATGATTTTTAAAAGCACCCCACATAAAGCAAAATCCAAGGGCCAAAATCCCTTCCACAAATCAAAATAACACCTTCTGCAAACCAAAAGTTTTCCTCCTACCTCCCATGCTGCCCTCTACCACCCCCCTGCCGACACACCCCCAAAACTCTTAGCAATCAGAAAGATCTAAGATGGTGGGTGTAAGCAGTCTTTTTAGGCCCCGGGGGACGCCGGACCCCCTCCCTCGAGACCCCTGTCTGTCCTGCCCCAAAGCCTGCCAAGGCCTCCTGCTCCTGACTCCAACCTCCACGGCCCCCCCAAACTCAGCAGCTGCCCCCAGCTCCCAATCTCGGCAGAGCCTTTGTGGGGGTGAGACAGAGATGAAACACTGTGCTAACGGCTGGGGACGTTGGGGGGGCTTCTGGTCTCAGCCTTTGGTTTCTATCTGGGGGACTGCGGTTCGGGGCATAAGGGAAAGCCTCTCCGATCATCCCCCCAGTTCCAAGACTGACAAAGCCCAACCCCACCCCAGCACGCACCTCCAAGCCTCCCCCCCAACCGCCACGTCTCTCCTGAAAACAGGGGACACTTTCCTCCCCACTTACCTCAGCTACTCTCCCCTGAGATCCTGGGCCCCTATTTTGAAGGGAGCAAAATTTGGGGTGCATCCCTCACATTTGGGGTGCAGGAGAAAGGAGCCGCCCCAGTCGCATCGCTGGCCTCCTTCCTCTCGGCTGGCTCAGGGAGTGGGGAGTGCCCTAGGGAGGGGGGACCCCCACAAGAGAGCTCAGAAGGGGGTTCCACCATTCCCAGTCAGAATTGGGGACACCCCCCCCAAACCCGTCCCAGCCCATCCGTCTCCAACTCGGCGGGAGAGGCAGCTGCAATGCCCCAGTCAGATTCCCCCAACACTACATTCCTCACCCCATCTAGAGGGGTCCCGGGGGCCCCAAAAAATCCCAAAAAAATCTAGGATGTTGGCAGGACGGTCCTGGACTAGCACCCCAAATTTGGGGTCCTCAGATACCCCCGTTTTTTCAGGAAAATTCCATCTTTCACCTGCCTCCCGCCAGCCCTGCTCTGTCCCGATGCCAATTTTGGAAGTCACTCCCTCCTTCCTCCTCCCCGTCTCTCCAGGCCCCCCCCCGCTCGGGGGCGAGGGTCCAGGAAACCTGGCTTCCAGACCGGGGGGGCACTCCTCGAAGGGCCAGGGGCCAGGAGGTCAAGCTCATAGCCCTAGTCTTAGGGAAGCAGGAAAGCCCGATCCTCCCCTCCCCTCCCCCCTGGCTGGTCTCCGTGGTGGTTTAAGGAAAGCCTGGAGGATTGGAATCTGCCATTGCTGTTGCACAGGCAGGTTTTTTGCCTTGGGTTGGGGGGGTGGGCGGTGGGAGGGAGGGAGGGGAGGAGAGCGAAGAGAGCAGGGACCCAGGCGTGCAGAGCTGGCCTGGCTTACCCCCTCGCCCCTACTGCCGTGGGGCACCCCTCCCCCCACCCACCTCACCCGCATTCCCAGTCCTCCGTCTGCTTTCTGTTTGGGGCTCTTATCCTAGAAACTCAGGGTACAAGAATCACCTCCTCGCACCCTCGCCACCACCTCTCCTTGCCAAAGTTCCAACAGCACTGTCCTAGTCAGGGGTGTTCCCGTTACCACGGGCTACCCCATTCCCCCCCCACCTTCCCAGAAAGTGAGGTGTGCTCCCTTAAGAAATTGGGGTTCAGAGTCTGAAACTGCCTTCTCTCCGTCAGATCTATCCAGGTCACATAGAAATAAGAGGAGATACACTACCCACTACCTTTCTAAATTTCTCCCTTCAAGTCCTGGGCATAATTGGGGGTTCAGTAAAGAAAGAGACTCCTAGAATCCGGGGTGAGAGGGAGCTAGCTATAGGCAAAGGACATCCCAAACCAGCATCATGCTCCAAATTAAGTGAACCCCCAAATCAGGCTCACCTTACGACCCATCTCTCGGCTTCATCAAATTCATCCAAAAAGTGACAAAACACCCCCAAATAATGACACCCCAAAACTTTAGTCTCCTACCCTGCGGCCTCACCTTGTTTCTCCCCCTGGGAAAAGCTTCGTGGCTATCTATGTATACACAGGCCACTGTGCCTTCAAAGTAAGTTTCCACAACATTCAAGTACAAAGGTCTGTTTCCCCTCAATGACCCACAATCACACACAAGGCCTTCAAACCTGCTCCCAGCTTCTATTACGTTCCACCTCAAGCTAATAAAAAACTCCAGATTGAATTTCATGTCCCCCCAAATCTAACCCCAGCCTTGAAACATACATGGCTTCCCAAAACAGACTATACCCCAAAATCAGCATGACTACTCTACTTGAAATCAGACTGTCCATACACACTAGTGACTATGAATCCGCAACACAAAACCCTCATCGACCTCCCGAAGCACGCCTAGCAGGTTGTCCTGACATTCCAAGATGACAATCTCCAAATTATGGGGGTCAGAGTCCCCAAAACTAACGCAGCTTCAAAATCAGCTCCCTGCCTCAAACGTACCACTGGCACTCAGGCTCAGGCCTTCTGAGTGCAGCCCCCAGCGCCCAGAACGACCCAACTAACTCAACACCCCATAAAAAACATACACTCCATAGCAGACCAGGTTACCCAAAATCAGCTCCATCCTGATACCAAAAGGAGCCCCCAGTCGGACTCCCACCTCCGGACTCAGCAGAGGACACAGTAACCCTCACATACAAAAGCCACATCGCGGTCCTGAATCCCCAGGGGTCCCGGATTCCCAATTTCTCCGCAGTTCTTTCCTGCACTCAAATAAAGACACCCTCGGGTCAGATAGAGACACCGCAGGCCCGTAGGCAGCTCCATGGATAATGGCCAGTCATTCCAGGGCACCTGTGGACTCTCTTGAACCCAATGCAAGTCCTGCTTTGCAGCTAGAACTCAGCTCTGCACCCCTCCTCCAAATAAACATTGCGTCCCCCAACCTCTCCCCAAACAAAATATGAGGGTGGGAACCGTGCCCATCTCCCAGATCAGGGACCTCCAATTAGGGTTTTCGGTTATCGGGCCCCTCCTGCCCTCTCTCCCTCCTTTTACCCCCGAGGCCCTCCCTGTTTTTCCTTCTCTCTGTCCACCCCACCCAACCCTCAGATTAATATTGGCTAAAAATTCACCTCTACCGACAGATAACAGGGTCTAGCTTCATGAGAAAAGAGAACCCTGAGCTCCCAGGTCTCAGACCCCACTCCTGGTCCCACCAGTTCCCTTGCTCCCAGAGCCCGCGGATTTCTCACCCCAGATTAGGAACCCCAGCCTTGGAGGGAAGTCCCCTCTGTCGCCTAACTCTCCCTCCCTCCGCCCAGCCTTCGTCCCCCCCCACCCTACCCCCCAGGAGACAGAGGGACAAAATCAACCAGCGCAAAGGGGAGGAGGACGAAGGCGTCCGCCTCTGAGACCGAATGGATCCTGCGCCCCGGTCCAAGTGGACCCCAGCCGGGTGGAGACGGCGAGGCGAGGCTAGTGCTCGTCCGCCCCCTCGTGGAAGGAGTCGAGCATTGCGGGGGGTTTGCCTACTTGCCGCGCTGGACCGGGGCGTCCCGCCAGCCTCCGAGCGTAGCCCACGGGCGGGTGCCCGAGGCCTTTAGTGAGCTGGGACTGGGGGAGGGCGAGCGGGCTTTGGGCGGGAGTCTGTGTCTTCTGGATCCCTACAAGGATTCAGAAGGGAGTCGGGAGCGAGAGTCCGGACGCCCAGGTCTCCTGAGCGTCTCTCGGCCCCCACCCGGGGCTTTCCCCACCTCCTCGAGGGGAAGCAGCTGGCGGAGCCGTCCGGTCGCAGGACAATGGAAGGAAACGACTAGAAATCATATCCGTCCCCTCCCCGCCCCGCCCGATCAGAGCCCCCCTTTCTGCTGGCCCTGCTAGAGGACCCTGTCATTCGCACCGCGCCCTCCCGCTGTCTGGGACCCCACGCGAGTGCGCCGGGGCCTCCCCAAACCGGGTGCCTCTATGGGTTCCCCTTTATCTCCCCTGACACCGTCTGTGGGAAGGGGGAATTCTGCTGTATTCACTCTCCAGTTGACAGGCACCCCCCTTTCAAAAGCCAACACACGGATTTTCGCTGCCCCAGGCCCCCCGACGACCCGGGTGGCCCCTATTTCCAATATCTCTATCCCCAGCCTCCTCCCCAATGCCAGTGTCCCCTCGCCGGTCCCACTTTCAGGGGCCCGAGACCCCTTACGTTACGACCACCCAGGGTTTCTGAGGTCCCGCCCTCGGGCCGGAGACCCCGCCCCGGGCTCGCCATCTGGAGAGCGAGGGAGGAAGGAAGGATACAGACCCAGGCGTTCACCCCACCTCCACCCCCGCCCCCGCCATCCCGGCCAGATAAAGGAGCCGACGCCAGGAGGGGAGCAAGACCCCGCCCCCCCCAAGAAGAGCCGCCGCAGCCCCTGCGGGACGGGGGTAAGAACGACGGACCGAGGGAGCCGGACTCCCGGGTTCCCGAAAAGGGTTGCTGATGGTAGGAAGACTGAGGCCCGGTGCTTGGACTGAACTAGTGGTCCGGGATCAGACAGGAGTGGAATTCCGTGCTTCAGAGAGGGTGCCTGGGTGGGATTTGGAGGATTGTGGACGCGGGCCGTCCGGGGTGCCCGGGCAGGTCGGACACCTGAGATTGAGGCGCGCGGTGAGGCCGAGGGCAGCGGGGTGCTGCTGCGTCACGAGCAGTCGAGCCGAGGCGCCGCGGGCCGGACTCCCCACGCTGGCCGTCGACGCCGCGGTGTGGGAACACCCACCCCACGCCGGCACCGTGGAGTCTAGCCGGGAGGCGAGCGCCGGTGGGCGGGGGGGGCGGAAAGCACTAGACGGACCCCACGAGGCTGCGCGAGCCGGGCTGGGGGCTCGGCCCGGGCTGCACGTCGGCCGGAGGGGCGAACTGCGGAGGGAAGGTGTCTGAGCACCGCCTGGGTCGCTGAGCCCTTTCCCCGGCACCCTCAGGCCTGCGTCGCCATGGGTTCCACCGGCGCCCCGGAGGGCGCGCTGGGCTACGTGCGCGAGTTCACCCGCCACTCCTCCGACGTGCTGGGCAACCTGAACGAGCTGCGCCTGCGCGGGATCCTCACCGACGTCACCCTGCTGGTCGGCGGGCAGCCCCTGCGAGCTCACAAGGCGGTTCTTATCGCCTGCAGGTTCGAGGAGGGTCTCGTGGGGCGTGGGACGGGACCAATGGGAAAGGGGTGGTATCATAAGGTTCCTCGGGAGAGGATCTGGGAGGGGACCCGGAGCCAAGCCTTCGGAGAGCAGGAGGCTGAGTGTCGAGTGGAGCGCATCGGGGAACTGGGGGGGATGATGGGGAGGAGGTGGGGCTTCCTCGTTCTGCGTGTGTCGGTGGGTTCCCCAGGCCCTGACGTAGCCTATCTGCCTTCTCTGCAGTGGCTTCTTCTATTCGATTTTTCGAGGCCGCGCAGGCGTGGGGGTGGATGTGCTCTCCCTGCCCGGGGGCCCCGAAGCCGGAGGCTTCGCTCCTCTCCTGGATTTCATGTACACGTCACGCCTACGCCTCTCTCCTGCCACTGCACCGGCCGTCCTCGCGGCCGCCACCTACTTACAGATGGAACACGTGGTCCAGGCCTGCCACCGTTTCATCCAGGCCAGGTGAGGGGGCCCCCGCTCGGTGTCCTCCGTTGGGTGAGGTGGCATCCCAGGTGTCACGGGTAGAGGCCAAGATCAGGAAAGAGCACTAATATCCATCGCACTTTTCCCAGCTATGAACCTCTGGGCATCTCCTTGCGGCCTTTGGAGGCGGAACCCCCGAGGCCCCCAACGGCCCCTCCACCAGGCAGCCCCAGGCGCTCTGAAGGGCATCCAGACCCACCTACCGAGTCTCGCAGCTGCAGTCAAAGGCCCCTCAGCCCAGGCAGCCCAGACCCCAAGGCCTGCAACTGGAAAAAGTACAAGTTCATCGTGCTAAACTCTCAGGCCACCCAAGCAGGGAGCCTGGTGGGGGAGAGGAGTGCTGGTCGACTGTGCCCCCAAGCCAGGCTCCCCAGCGGCGACGAGGCTTCCAGCAGCAGCGGCAGTGAAGAAGGACCCATTCCCGGTCCCCAGAGCAGGTACAGACCCTGGAACCTCAAGAATTGGCAGAGGCCAGCCTCAGCTGGGAGGCAGGGCCACCAGGCCTGGGTGGTCAGGAGAGGGGAGGGAGGGGGTGGGACTTCCCAGGCACCACCGGTTCTGGCTCACTGGTCAGTGTTGGCTAACCTCCAGAGGGTAAGCCAGCCTCTGGCTCCAAATTCTCCAGGCCAGAACGCCCCCCCCCCAATAATATCTCTCCTAATCCTTTTCTCTGGGCTTGCCACCTGCCTAGGCTCTCTCCATCTGCTGTCACGGGACACTTCAAATGTGGGGCTCCAGTCAATAGCCCCCACCTCCTCACAGCCCCGACTCAAGAGACCCCTGCATCGCAGTCTGGGCGGGCTTGTCCGCCACCAGGTCAGAGCCCTTCCTTTTACCACTGCCCTTGGCTTTTCTCCTCAGGCTGCTCAAGGCCAGTTCGGGCCAAAAGGAAAGGCCGGTCCCAATTACTGCAAACTGGAATCACCTCCGGAGCTCTTAACAACCCCATTGCCCAAGTCACACCCCACAGATCAGAGTGTCTGGAAGTGGGAGCCAGGAATCAGTATTTCTTTTAAAGCTTCCAATGAGCCGCCAAGTTTGGGAACTTCTGGCCTATTCCCATCAGGGCTGAGTGGTGGGCCCAGGGCTTGGCAGGGCCTCTCCGCAAGCTGTCAAGCAGAGCAGTGGTCCAAGAGAGGAGAGAGAACAGAATCTTCACCCAGCACCTGAGACCTCTACCTACCACCACCACTATTTTTTTTTAAGATTTTATTTATTTATTTGACAAAGATCACAAGCAGGTAGAGAGGCAGGCAGAGAGAGGAAGGGAAGCAGGCTCCCTGCTGACCAGAGAGCCCGATGCGGGGCTCGATCCCAGGACTCTGGGATCATGACCTGAGCGGAAGGCAGAGGCTTTAACCCACTGAGCCACCCAAGCGCCCCCACCACCACTATTGAAGAGATTAGCAGAGTAGTCTGAAGTCAGACAGACATGAAGTCAGATCCTGGCTTGGCCTCTTATGAACCATGGGACCTTGAGTAAGTCGAATGAGCTCTAGAGCTTTAACAGTAAGTTGGGGGGAAAGAAAACCCACTAGGAGTGTGGCTTGAGGACTCACTGGAATTGTCATTACCCACCTTCCTCCCAGGAAGTGAACCGTTCAGCTGCCAGAACTGTGAGGGAGTGGCTGGGTGCTCGTCTGGGCTGGACCCCTTGGCTCCCGGGGATGAGGACAAGCCCTACAAATGTCAGCTCTGTCGGTCTGCCTTCCGCTACAAAGGCAACCTGGCCAGTCACCGCACGGTGCACACAGGTAAGGGAGGAGAGGGTCCAGGCCCTCGTGCCCGCGCGCGTCGTAGGGCCGAGTCCCTGACCTCCAGGCCTCCCTGCCCTCAGGGGAGAAGCCCTACCACTGTTCCATCTGCGGAGCCCGCTTTAACCGGCCGGCCAACCTGAAGACGCACAGCCGCATCCATTCGGGAGAGAAGCCCTACAAGTGTGAGACCTGCGGCTCGCGCTTCGTGCAGGTGCGGGGCGCGTCTGGGAGCCCGCTCGGGGCAGATCTGCCAGAGGGCGGGGCGCGCCGTCGGGGACAGGGGTGTGCCTCCCGGACGCGCGGTCTGAGGTCCCCCTGCCTTCCCAGGTAGCGCATCTGCGCGCGCACGTGCTGATCCACACCGGGGAGAAGCCCTATCCTTGCCCTACCTGCGGCACTCGCTTCCGCCACCTACAAACCCTCAAGAGCCACGTTCGCATCCACACGGGGGAGAAGCCCTACCACGTGAGTGCCGAACCTGGCCTGGCGCTTACCTGGGAGCGGGGCTCTGGGAGGAGGGGACCCGGGGTTCCCGGAGCTCTACAAGTGGGCGGAGTCATGGAAGATAAGGGGCGGGGCCAGGGTTGGGAAGAGCGCGCGCACGCGCGCGGAGAAGTTAGGCTCCGGACTGGGCGCCGTCCGCGGGGCGGAGCTAGGTATGGAAGGGGCGTGGCCTAGCTCTGCGGCCCCGGCGGAGGACCTAGGGAGACGCGAGGACCGAGGATCCTCTCTCTCGCGGAGAGTTGGCCGGGACCGCTGTCCCTCCAGGGTGGTTGGGGAGCGGGCGGGAGCTGACCTGGCTGTCCCCCCACAGTGCGACCCCTGCGGCCTGCATTTCCGGCACAAGAGTCAGCTGCGCCTGCATCTGCGCCAGAAGCATGGAGCGGCGACCAACACCAAAGTGCACTACCACATTCTGGGGGGGGCCCTAGCTGCGCGCGCCGCCTGGATCCCACGAGCTTCCCGGACACCCGGAGAGCTGCGGGCTTGGGCGTGGGGGGGCGTGCAAGGCCCCTCGGGTGTCAGAAACGGCCACCACCTTGAATTCTCGCTGGGGAGAGCAGGGGTGGCAGGTCCGCGCCCGATCTGCCTCCGTTTTGCTGGTCAAAACCTCTTCCCCACAATCCAAGTTGTTTCTGAGGAGAGAGTCAGCTGGGAGCTGCGGGTGGCGGGGCGGGCGGGGGGGCGGGTGGGGAGGGTGGGAGGCTGGAGAGAACGGCCCTCCACCTGCAGCGCCCCTCTCCTTTGGTTTCTCTGTAAATATAATTTATTGAGGCCTGTGGGTGGCACCAGGGCCTTCATTCCATGGCATTTCCCACATCCCCCTTCCAGAAGTGTGATCCAAGGTGGCCTGAAGCACAAGTGTGTGGGGTCGCAGCTCTGCTGGCAGAGATGAGCACTTGGCTGTCTCCTTTGGCTTGACTGTTTCATGTGTTTGCTTGTCATAACTTCATCTTCAGAGTTGTTTCTCCTGTCTGTGTGCTTGTCCATGCGTTGGGAATGGAGAAAGGGTCTCTCTGTGTCCTGTCCCTCCCAGTCCTAGGTCTGGAACCTTATTTGTTCTAGGGCGGCTCTGGGGACATGTGGGGTTGTGGAATTGGGTCAGGAACCCTCTTTGGTATTCTGGGTATTGTAGGTTCTCTAGCGGGCTAGAACTGCATATAGACTCCCCTCTAGTTCCAAGACTTAGAGGACCATTTTTTGTTTTTGTTTTTGTCTTTGTTTGGTGAGCCGGAAATGGAGGTCTGGTCACCTCAGTTTGGCTCCACTGTGTCGATCTGCTATGCGCTGGGCTTTAGTTGAGTCCAGAATCCTCCCCCGGGGCCTGTTCTCAGCACTGGGTTGATCCCTTCCTTATCAGAGATGACACAGCCTTTTCTGATTCTTCCCAGACTCAAAGAATGCTATGACCTATGGGAGAATTGTTAAACTCTATCTTGACTAAGAGATAAAGAGCCATGACCAGTCCTTAACTGTAGAGGTGTCTGGGTTCCAATATTCCTTGGGGTTCTCTCTACCTGAGACAAGTTCCTTCTTCGTTTAGTGGGTTTTTGGACATCATCTGGCAAGTGTCCAGATTCCAGAAACTTCTTTCCCTCTAGAAATTACAGGCACCTGGTATCTTTCTTACCTTAGAAGAGCTAGGTCTGTGACCTGGCCTTCCTGTCACTGCATTCCTGTCTGGAACTGGTGAATGCACTAGAACCTTCCACAGGGAGAGAAAAGGGGCTGAGTTCCTTTCTGGATTTGCTGTAGTTTTGTGATTATGATTGGGATTACTGTTGGGATTAGAGATTTACAAGATTTAGACGAGAAATTGACAGGTGGTCCTTCTAGTTGACCAAGTATGTCTGGGTAGGATTAAGAGGTTGGTTGAGGGGCACAGTCTCCATTGTAGGTCAGGTAAGTAGAAAGTTGGGAATGGGGTTGCCTCTTAACTAGATGGAATGTCTGGAATGTGAGATGATACTCTGAAGCCTTCATTTACAGTCCTTCCCCTGCTGTCTTGGGACCTGTTTGATTGTGGGGTATGGATGGAGGGTAAGGAGCACTTTGAAATTTTCGAGGTGGGCTTCCACAAGCTGGGTCAGGACTAATCGCCACCACTTGAGGACCAGCAAGAAAGCAACTTTTCTTTTTCATTCCCTCTTCCTCCCCACTGCAGAACAGAAGCAGGGAGAGATCACAACAGAGAGATATTAGAAGGAACCATGATTGATTTCTTTCCCCCAATTGGATGGGCAGGTGGAGGTCGCTCGTAGGGGTGGAAATGTTAGATCTTGCAAGATCCGAATCTTGGAATAAAGATGACTCTCTGTGCTGCCTACTGTGTCCCGGGTTCTTGCCTGGGAGGATCTGGGAATGGGATGAAACGGGGCAGGGGGGTGGTAGGGTTCTTCCCTCCTAGATTCTATCTCGTGTTCTGTGCTGATTCGACCGCCCCATCCCATCAGACACTTCAAATGGCCCTTGTTCTCCCCTGCCCTGCCCTTGCCTTCCAGCTCATTGTGTAGGAACCGGTGACTTCATGAAGTTTCTCCGGAGCCACCTGCATCCTGCGGCTCTGAAGTCACTTCCTGCCCGAGGTGTGGAGGCAGCAGGGAGAAACCAGGAAGCCACTAATAATACCAGGAGCCTGGGGGATGCATCCGTGCAGGGATCTGAATGCTTGGGACAACCCCCGCAACACCACCACCAGCACACCCCCCCCCCAAGGAAAATGGACAGGACTTGGGTCCCCTGAGAACAGAAGAGCATGCAGATGGCAGGGAGAAGGTGAAGCCTGTGGTCAGGCCCCTCTGCCCCTCCCCGCCCCCAGGCCCTTCTGCCCCTACCCCAGCAATGGGGCCTTGGAATCTACCCAGTGCCCAGGCAGTGCTTCTCTCCCACTCTTTCCCTGTCCCGTTGTGTCCTGGGTGTGCAGCTCTGTTTTGCCGGGGGCAGAGGGTCACAATTTTGTTAAGTTCCCTCCCTTTTTGGACTTAAAATTCCTCATCTGGGGGATAAGTCCATTAACGTGGTCTTCAGTTCCTGCCCACATTTACAGTGTGGGGTTTCATTTCTCCATCTTAAAACTCATGACCTAGATTAGAGCTATTTCTAAGTAAAACATAAAACAAAAAGCCTACACTAAAACCTCCCTCCCCCCCCCGGACCCCGGCCACTTCAGCTTATGCCCCATCGAAAATGAAACCGGCTAATATTACTTAACCCGCGGTACCCGTCAGGTCCTAAACTAAGCATTCTTGTGCATGGCCTTTTGAATTCCGCTCCCCTGATAACCCTCAAGAGTAGGTACCATTATTATCCCCAATTTACAGTCGGAAAACCAACTGAGGGGCTCGACATCTTGGTGATCCTATGTCCTCTGTGTACTTAGTGTCCCTGTATACAGCCACATTGACAGCCTCGTCTTGGCCTATTTCCCACCACCCAACATGTTGACCCCACTTAACAAAGTTTGGGGGGTATGATAATTTTTATTTCCCACATATAAAATTATAGGGCTCAATATGCTTTTGTAAAATTACACAGCCCAGGGGTGCCTGGGTGGCTCAGTTGGTTACGCCCCAGAGATGTCGTCTCAGCTCTGGTCATGATCTCAGGATGGTGAGAGAGAGAGAGAGCCCCATGTCAGGCTCTACACTCTGCAAGGAGCCTGCTTAAGACTCTCTCTGCCCCCAGGTCCCTCCCTAGGTCCCCCCCCAACCTTCGAGTGCACATGCACACTCTCTGTAAACAAACAGACAAAAAAACAGCCTCCCATGTGTCACTTGTCTGGATATGAGCCCTTGAGCCCAAGTTGCAAGGTCAAGGTCCTGGGGGGCAGGAATTATAAGGAAGAAACAAAGCCAAGCCATTAGTGTTATGTAAAGTGGAGAGACTGGATACTGGTTGAATAGAAGGGGCTGGCCACCCGGTGAAAAGAGCGTCCCTCTTTCGACAACTCCCTCAGGAGATCAGAACCTGCTGTCGGGAAATAGTTTTACCAGAGGGCTGAGGAAAAGGTTTCAGCCCCACTGAGGAAGGGGTAGTGGTGCTGGGAGGCCCTGTGTGTGTCCACGGCCGCCCTTCCTCTCCCGAGTTATTTTTGGTCTCTGTGACTTGTAGATTTCCTGTTAGCGAGGACAGAAGCAACAGGAACCGAGTCGCCACTGCAGACACAAGTGCCCGCAGTCCAACAGTCCGTTTCCCCATCTCTTCCTCGGCCCCGGAGCCCCTCAAAGATCTGGGCATCGGGGTTCTAGTGTGCCCGGGCGCTGGGACAGGTATTTCGTTTGAGTCTCAGGGCAGAACCCCTACACTCACCCCGACCTGACCTTGCCACTGGGTCCCTCATTTAGCAAGTTGGTGTCCTCCTGTCCTGAACCGGTTTACCCATACACACACACCCCCAACCCCATGAGCTCCCTCCGTGAGGGTCTTGGTGCGGTATCCTGGACTGATCGGCTGGTGAGGTGGACGGGAGACGCAACAGCCTCGGGGCAGGTCCCTCAGTCACGCGGGGCCCATTGAGTCGGCCTCCCGCGGGCCCCCTCCTGACGCATGCGCCCCACTCACTGTCCGGGTCCAGAACCGAGCTCTAAGCCCCGCCCTGCCCTCCTGGCTCCAGCCCCCCGGCTCGGGGGCGTCCCGCTTCACCACTGGCCAGCGGTGTACAGGCATGACGGCCGGCACCGGCAGGTAGCTGATGACCTCAGGGATCGCAGCGATAAGGCGGAGGGATAACCCGCACCGAGGCTGGCGCTCTGCAGAGCCGGCGCCCAACCCCAGGGCCGCCTCCCGGCTCCAGGCTGAACGTCGGGTCCCCGCCCGGGCCCGTCCCGCCCAGGCCCGTCCCGCCCAGGCCTCGACCGGCTGCGCGCGGCCCACGGAGCCCCGCCCCCGGGAGCCGCTAGCGCGGAGGCCGCCGGCTCTCCCCACCTAGGCTGCCCGGCCCGGGGAGAGGCGCAGGCGTCCGCCGCAGCCTTCCCTACCCCCGGGCTCATCGGTGCCTTCCTCTGCAGAGGCAGCAGCCTGGCCTCCGCCGCGCGGCTGGGCGGCCCGGGGGGCAGAGGTGGGGGGGTCCCGCGCCCTGCTCCCAACCGGGCTGCGCGGAGTGGCGGCAGCCCCGTGCCCTCGCCGATGGCGCCTAGGGCCGAGCCCCCCGACGGGGGCTGGGGGTGGATGGTGGTGCTCTCCGCGTTCTTCCAGTCGGCGCTGGTGTTCGGGGTGCTCCGCTCCTTCGGCGTCTTCTTCGTGGAGCTGGTGGCGGCGTTTGAAGAGCAGGCGGCGCAGGTCTCCTGGGTCGCCTCCATAGGGATCGCCGTGCAGCAGTTCGGCAGTGAGTGCCGCGCCCGGGTCCGCCTCGCTCGGTGGGACCGGGAGGGGGATGCAGGCACGCTGCGGAGGAAAGGGCGGGGCTGGGGAAGCTACTGGCCAAGGACGCTGGAGAGATCCTCGCACGACTGTCTTCCTCTTTCTCAGGTCCCGTGGGCAGTGCCCTGAGCACGAAATACGGGCCCAGGCCCGTGGTGATGGCGGGGGGCATCTTGGCTGCGTCGGGGATGCTGCTCGCCTCCCTTGCTACCTCCTTGACCCACCTGTACCTCAGTATCGGGCTGCTCTCAGGTGAGACCCTGGACAAGGGCAGGAGAGGCCAGCTGCCTCCGGACTTTCACCTTCTTCCTGCCAGCTCTGAGCTGCTAAGGAGGAGCTGATGGAAGGTTTTGGCGAGCGCCTGTGCCCAGAAGGGAAGGACGTCTTGAGAGCGTTGACTAAAGTGATCAGCGTGTGCAGGGATATTGAGAAATTCCGAGATGTTGAGGCCAGAATTTGCAAGACCGGGGCTGGTGGGGCTGGAGTGTCAGAGGAAGAATGACCATGAAGTTGTGCCAGGCACCGTGGCTGCAGAGTAGATGCCATAATCCTAGTTTACAAACAAAGAAAGGTTCTCAAAGCTTGTGTAACTTGGCAGATGGAGATCACACAGCCAGAAGTGGTATAGCCCGAGGTATAGATCCGAAGTTGGGATCTAGTTACTGTGCATGCAGTATTTCTAAGCCTCCACAGTCTCATTGGGTGTCTTACGCCTGTCTTGCAGAAGAGGAGACCGAGGCTGGGAGAGGAAATAAAATACACAGGGTCGTACTGCTTGAAAACAAGGCCTGTGCTACCGTGGTGGGATTACCTGGTGTCCTGGGAGCCCTAAGAGTCCCCCAACCCCTCTCTCTTCCTTTTTGACAGGCTCTGGCTGGGCCTTGACCTTCACTCCGACCCTGGCTTGCCTGTCCCGTTACTTCTCTCGACGGCGATCCCTGGCCACAGGGCTGGCACTGACTGGCGTGGGCCTCTCTTCCTTTGCCTTTGCCCCACTTTTCCAGTGGCTGGTCAGCCGCTATGCCTGGAGGGGGGCTCTACTGCTGGTGTCTGCCCTGTCCTTGCACCTGGTGGCCTGTGGTGCTCTCCTCCGCCCGCTCTCCCTGAGGGAGGACCCTATTGTGGGCGGCCCCGCAGCCCAGCTCACCTCCCTCCTGCATCACGGGCCCTTCCTCCGTTATACGGCTGCCATAACGCTCATCAACACTGGCTACTTCATTCCCTATGTGCACCTGCTGGCCCACCTCCAGGACCTGGATTGGGACCCACTGTCTGCTGCCTTCCTACTCTCAGTGGTGGCTGTCTCTGACCTCGTGGGACGTGTGGTTTCCGGGTGGCTAGGAGATGCGGTCCCAGGACCCGTGGCACGACTGCTGATGCTCTGGACTGCCCTGACGGGGGTGTCCCTAGCCCTGTTCCCTGTGGCTCGTGCTCCCACGGCCCTAATGACTCTGGCCGTGGCCTACGGCTTCACATCAGGGGCCCTGACCCCGGTGGCCTTCTCCGTGTTGCCTGAACTGGTGGGGACTGGAAGGATATACTGTGCCCTGGGACTGGTGCAGATGGTTGAGAGCATTGGGGGACTGCTGGGGGCTCCCCTGTCAGGTAAGGAGGATTGGGTTTCCCGGGGGGGGGGGCTACATCATAGCCATGTCATGCAATTTGGGGAGGGGACTAGTGATGTTATAATGTGCATGAATATTGCCCTTGGGGATGGCACAGAACACGGCCTCCATGGCCAATCTGGGCAGCCCTGAAGTGGGTCCGGGGGCAAGGAAATGGGGGCCGTGGAAAGACTCTGAGGAGCTATGAGGACCCCGTGGCTGGGTATCTACAGCTTGGGTGCTCAGAGGACCTGGCTGGACCCAGCCAGACGTAGCCTGCAGGTGTCTGGCCCTTCCCTTGGCCTACTGGCCCCCTGCCAGCTGTCTGAGCTGTCGGGTCAAAGTTCTCCATGACCCAGATGCCAAAACCTTCAGACCCTTAACTCTCTCCTCTTAACTATTAACTGAAAGTGTAGACAGGAGGGCCACAGTTGCTTGAAAGAAAGGCGCAGGTGCGCCAGCCCCGTCTGGATACCCAAGTCTCCGCTGGCTGGCTTGGAGGTCCTTCCTGAAGGCAGGAAGGAGGTTGAAATTTCCCTCCAAAAATGACATGTAGAAACCCTGGGACGCCAGAGTTCTCGAGCTCATCCCGTCCTGTCTAAGTGAGTTCGAACTCTTCCAAGATGATGGGCTCAGGAGTACGCTCTTCCCTTCATCAGTCTCAGGAAGTGGGGTGCCCATGTGTGTTCTTTTTCTCTCTTGGACCTAGGCTACCTCCGGGATGTGACAGGCGACTACACAGTTTCTTTCGTGGTGGCCGGGGCCTTCCTTCTGGCGGGAAGTGGCATCCTCATCACTCTGCCTCACTTCTGCTCCCTGGCCTCTGCCTCTAAGCCCCAGGACCTTGTCACAGAGGCAGTGGACACCACAGTCTCTCGGACCAGGGATGGGCTGGGAGAGGACTGAACTGCACAAAGGGGCTGTCAGACCAAGAGGTCAGAGCTCGGCAGCTCCAGATTCTCCTCCTCTAGCCCATCCTGGTGCCCACAGAAACCACACTGCCTTAAGCATCTTGATCGGCTCCCCCACAGGGCAAGCCTGGGGTGGGCGGTGGTCCTGCATGGTGTGTGCCAACCCCCTAGTATTTTGCTGAGGACTCTCATCTCTTCTTTGCTCCCACAACCTTTACGGAAGGATACAGGAGCTCAGCCTGCTCCCCGGAGCTGTGAATCAGCTGTGACAACCAAAGGCTAAGAGACTTAATGTGTTTTACATGTGATCTCTAGTGTCGCCCACCAGCTTCCTTCTCTGCCGGCAGGTGCTTGGGAAAGGGGGATGCCCTTTTGAGATAAAACTGAATAAGGAAACGGGGTGATCGTCAGAACCTCAAAAAGACCTGGGGCCTGTATGCTTGGGTTGGCCGAGTGGGTTCGTGGTTAAGAAGTGGAAGGAAGGTCCCCACTTTAATCCTGGACTCTGCTGTCTGGACCACACCCCCTCCGTCTGGCCCGCAGATCTCCCCTTTCCTACTGTCTCCTGAGACTTGGAGGACAGTGGTGAGGACACGGGGATGGAATGGTGGCTTGGGAGAAGGAGCTGCTACAGTGAGAGCTGAAGTCCCATCCAGCATTTCCCTCTGGCCAGGGGAAGGAGCCTGAAATTCAGGGAGGGGTTAGCTGGGGGGTCCGGATGGGGCAGATGGCCCCCTTCCTCCTGAGCCCTCACCCCAACACACTGAAGCTGACAGGTAGGCAACTTCTCTGAGCTTCCCTGTGTTTTTATTGTTTTTTGAGAGAGAGAAAAAAAGAATGACAGTGGAAGAGGGGCAGAGGGAGAGAGAGAGATGGACAATCTTAAGCACGCCTCATGCCCCGCAGGGAGCCCACTGGGGGGGGGTTAATCTCAGGACCCTGAGATCATGACCTGAGCTGACGTCAAGAGTCAGAGGCTTAACTGATCGAGCCCCCCTGGGGCCCCCTTGAATATCTTATGTAGAAGGAATGTTTTCAGCCTCCCAGATTGGCTAACAGTTGGAACTTGCAGGAAACTGGATAGAAATTCTTTGCTGGGGGTGGGGTTCCAACTCGTGGTCAACAAGCAGTGTCCAGAGCGGACTGGGGGCCTCCAGAGGAAAGCAGGGCGACTTGAGGAGCGGGGAGCAGCTCCCCCCTCTCGGGGGGAGGCGTGGCCGGCCGGGAGGCTGGCCGGCAGGAGGGCAGCGCCCCGGGCAGCCCCATGTAGATGAAGCTGCCGGAGAGGATAAAAGAGCCGCACGCGAGGAAGGAGGCGGTGAAATCTCCCGTCTCGTCTCTTAGGAAGCCTGTGAGGAAGGGGAAAGGAATTTAGGGACCTGGGATCCCGGGGCAGAGGACGGTTGCGAGCAGATCTGTTCGCTCGGGCCCTTACCTGACAGCGGAGGGCCCAGAAGCCCCCCGAGGCTCATCAGCATCATCACCAGCCCCGTGGCCTGGACCACGCCTCTGACGCCCACCAGCCCCGGGAGCACTCCGAACACCAAGGGCGCGTAACTTCCCGCGCTGAGCCCGTAGGCCCCGGCCGCGGCCAGCAGGGCCCCCTCGCAGCCCTCCTGGCTGCCCACCAAAGGCACCAGCCCCACGGCCAGCAACCCCAGCCCGGTCAGGGCCCCGAACACCGCCAGCAGCCGCGAGAGGGGCACCCAGCCCTGGTCTGCCAGCCACCCGCTGATGAGCCGCGCGCCCGCATCCCCCACCGCAGCCACCGCCACCACCAGCGCCGCCCCATACCCGCCCAGGCCCAGGTCTAAAGCGTGAGGGGCCAAGTGCACGTAGGGGACGAAGTAGCCGCCCCCGACCAGGGCTGTGCCCAGGGCGAACACCAAGAAGGCCCGGCGCGCGAAGAGGTCCAGGCCGAGGGCGGCTAAGGGCCCGAGGGGTGGGGCCGGGGGGGTCGTCAGGGAGCACCAGGGGTCGCAGGAGGGCGCCACAGGGGGCGAGGTGGAGGGTGACGGCGCCGAGGAGGAGCAGGGCGCCCCTCCAGCCGAAAG